TGGACAGACGCGTGGGGAGAGCCCGGGTGATGACTGGCAGAGACCACAGTGATGCCTCTGCAAGCCAGGGACTGCCCGGCTCTGCCAGAAGCTGGGAGAAGCAAGGAAGGATTCTAGCCACGTTTTGAGTGGGAACAGAGCCCACCTGACACCTTGATCTCAGACCTGTAGCCTCCGGAACTGAGAGACCATAAATTGCTGTATGAGCCACGCAGCCTGTGGTGCTGGGTGACGGCAGCCACAGGAAACTGAACGCAGCCACTTTTGCATTCTCTGCCTTCCTGAGGTGCTCAGACTGACGTCCACAGTTTACCACTGTCCTCTTCCGGTCTTAAGTCATGGAGGCCTTTCATTGCCCCAGAGGCCAGCCTGCTCTGCTGCCACATGTCAGCAAATGGACTGAAATGATGGCCTCATTGGGCCCCTGCCTCAGGTGCGGCAGCCACGGTCGTCCAGTAGTCTATATTCTCTTCTTCCCTGGATACCTTTGGACTTCCCAGAGCAGCCACCCTGGAACTGCTGGGCCCAGCTCTCCCATGTCCAGTGGAGCCCTTCCCCTACCACATGTCCTGACGGCTGCCAGCTACATGGGGGTCAGGAAATGGGGGGCCTCGACAGAGATGGAGGTTTGCAGAGATCCTCCACCCCCAAATGGACCATATCTACTTTAGAAATGACCCAGAGTAGCCCAGCGTCAGCCAAATAAGTGGCGGGTGAGGCTGCCGGCAGGCTTCCTACTCCACATCAGGAGCAGTGGCAAGGATGTGACTGTAAGGCTGGAAACCCCACACGGGAAGGATGACAGAGGTGCTGTTTCTGTACCTCTGGACAGCAGAGCCAGGATCCAGAGGAATCCGTCACCCAGAAGATGAAGTCAAGGGCTTGGCTCTCCCTGCAGCTGCCATGTGCCGCGCATGCTGGAAGCCAGGCGGTGGGCCCAGGACTCCGTGTCAGCTCACCGGTCCGCCCTCTGTTCCCCTGTCCAGGACTGGCACGTGTCCACTCCTACTCTCGGGAATAGTAGGCTCTGGATCTGTACCCCAAGAGCTAGGGCAGGCTAGGGCAGGGTTGCTTGTGAAAACAGTCTCTCCTGGGCCCAGGGCTACAGACTGAGCTGGGTCATCGGTGTTCATGGGGTCCTTCTGAAATTCAGTCTGGTCACGAAATGGTGTGTGAGGGCCCGCGGGATAAGTCTCGGTGCCCTGGGGAACTGATGACATTGGGGCCTTATCCCCCAAAGGATCCCCCATGGGCTCTGCCCTTATCCCATGTCTTCCCAGGTGAGATTCACTTAGGGTATTGGTCAAGGCCATCAGTGGAGGTAGTGTGTGCGTCAGTGATGGTTCAGGTACAAAGAATGGCATCCATGCAAGCTAGTTTATAAGGGATTTATCACTGAATATTGAACAGCTTACAGAGTCACTGGGGAGGCACGCACAACTGCCTAAGTTGGGATTTCAGGAATGACCCCAGGACCACCCTGCAGAGCCAGGCCACCAGGGGAGCCGCCGCCTGACCTTGTCCTTGCTCGGGGCCCGGAAGATGGTTGGGATCGGGCACCAGCTGCCAGTTTCAGACATGGCAGTGCCACTGCCGCCTTCAGGCAGCTTCAGATCCGTGCTGCCTGCTGTGGCCGTCCCCAGCAGAACAGGCACCAGGACTTCAGGACTCCTGCCGTGACTTTTCTTGGCGGCAGGAAGACCAGAAGCCCGGCTTCTGTTTCCGTGGTGCCTTCTTGCGCCAGTGTGCAGGCCACAGAGAACTGGAACGGTATCTGGAATCCTCCCTGGACAGTCCTCTGTCCGGACTGTTGTGTGCAGTGAAGGCCAATCACTAGAAGAGGGACCAGGTCGCTGGAGGTTGGGGGAAAGTGACCCCACAGGAGTGGCTCCAGGCCAAACCGTGGCTGGGTGCCAGCCCCGCGAGGAGACTGCTGGGCGTGCAGGTCCCCTGGGCAGCGCCACCATGCAGATGACTCCCAGGTCGCCGCCCACACGCCCTGACTCAGGGCACGTGGGGCAGCCTGGTCTCTGCCATCTCCTGTCTCCTTGCTCTTGATTCGCCAGTGGCCTTTGGGTACACAGTGTTCTCTCTGTTAGCTCCGGGAGAAACCTGTGAAGCAGCAGTACCAGGTGTTCTCGCCAGGGGTCCATCCTTTTTCAGGGAAGTGGGAGGCGAGGCCGCAGGAGGCCGAACGTCTTCCTCAGGGCTGCCGCCTTGCTGGAGGCAGAGCTGCCCTCCACCAGCCGGCCCTTCCTTCCTGCCGGCGGTCTTGAGCTGTCTTCCCTGCTCATTTTAGCCCAATGAAGGATGGAGATGCAGGAAGGCAGTGCAAGCGGCGAGCTGAGAGCCCCGGGTCCCGGTGCTGGCCCTGCCCCTTCCCCATTCCGAGCCTCTGCCTCCCCATCTGGGAGATGGGGCTCATGGCTGCAGGCTGCTTCTCTGGCCGCGGGAAAGCCGTGGTGTGTGTAGCTCCATAGAAGATAGAGCAGAGCTGCTGTGGCTGCCATAGGTAAAGCTCTAGATCTCCCCTTCCCACTCCGGGAGATCCTTGCTTGGAGCTCCCGGGGCTTCAGTCCTCAGCAAGGGCTGGTGAGTCTTTGCTTAAGACTTTCGTCCACCGAGGACCAGCAGAAGAGACTGTCCACGAGAGTTTGAGATGCCTTGTGTGGGGTAGAAGAGGGAGGGAGGGCTGGGTATTTCGGAAACAGAAGAATTGGCTGATCGGCCACAGGGCCCAGCTTGAGGTAACCGTGTTAGATGTAGTTCCCCATTCGGCTGCCTGTTTCCTAAATGAAAAATCGTACATCCTGTTCCACCCCATCTGTTCGGGATGATAAACGCGTCTTGGAGGGCTGCCACAGGGGAAGCGCCCGCTCTGCAAGACACTAGGCGGCCTCCATGATGTCCCGTACTCCACTCCTCTGGGCATCCAGCAAAACTCGCCTCACACGAGTGTGTGCATGCGTGTGTTTGCACATTGGGGCCACAGGGGCACAGGGCAGCTCCCAGAATGGGCATGTCCGGGGCCAGCTGAGGGGGAGCCTTCTTGACCGGGCCAGAGAGACATGGCGCCACGGAAGAGCTCTTGGCATTGCACCAAGTCTGCTTCCACCCAGAATCTGAGAAAGTTCTGAACAAGTTTGGCGGAACCGTTTTGAGTTCGTCTTGCTGTGGTTTCGCTTTTACTCACCAAAGCTGCTGTTCTGAAGGTGCTGTTAGGATCAGTGTGAGTGGGGACATGTTGGCTCTTCGGCTCCTCTGGGTTATTAACACACACCAGAGCCTTCCACGTGCCTGTACTAAAGTCCTGTCCGGCCAGGCATCTTCTGAGTGGAGGTGTTTACGGATAGCCGCCCTCTGGTGTTAGAGCCGTGGAGGAAAGTGGTGACGCATCCCCTGGAAGGCGCCAGGCCACAGAAGCCAACCCCAGGATCGGGCCTTCTCAGCAGAATCTGCACTTGCTCCTTTCTCGGGCTCTGCCTGGTGAAGGTTATCGCCTCCAGCCAGCCAGGGAGGCGTCAGGCATTGTTGCTGCCCCTCAAAAGCAGAATTCCAAGGAGGAGGAGAGAGGCTATAACCTAGTGAGGCCTGGCAGGAGACCCTGTTTCCTTCAGAGTTAAACTGTGCAGCGCAGACTAGCCAGGAAGACCCAGGGCCTCAGAAGCCTCAAAAGGGGCTTGAAGGAACCACTCTTTAAGGATGGCTAGGATTAGAAAGGGGGAGGGGACGGGACTGGCTTGGTCCGTAGAGCATGCAGCTGTTGATCTCGGGGTTGTGAGTTCAAGCCCCATGTTGGGCAAAGAGCCTACTTAGAAAAGAAGAGGAGGGGAAGAGGAAGAAACCCAGGGTTTAAAGGACTGTTACTGGTAGCTGACATCATGTACATGCAACAGAAGGTTATCCAGCCTTAAAAAGGAAGGGAATTCTGACCCCTGCTGCACTGTTTGACCCTGGAGAACGTGATGCTGAGTGAAACAAGCCAGGCACAAAAGGACCAACACCATCACTGTGTGATCCCACTTACATGAGGGACCGAGAGGAGTCAGGTTCAGAGACAGAAAGCAGAATAGCAGTTGCCGGTGAGAACTGGGGTGGGGGGGAATAAGGACTTGATGAAGGGAGACAGTTTCAGTTTTGTAAGATGATGAAAGTTGTGGTGATGGGTGGTGATGATGGCCACGCACCAACATGAATGTACTGAATGCCACTGAACCGGGTCTTTTAAAATGGTTAAAGTGCTAAGTTTTGTGTGATGTATATTTGTGGGATACATATTTTCCCACAATGAAAAATAAAATCGCTAACATTTATCGAGTGCTTGCTGTATGCCAAGCGCTGCACAGAGCCCTTGACATGTCTCATAGTTCTCCAAATAGCCATGTGAAGTAGGCACTGTTAGTTGCTTTCATCTTATAGATGTAGAACCTGATGTTTGGGGTCATTGGATAACACCCCACGGCTGGACAACTAGTGATGGTCAAGTGTGGCTTGAAGCCTCGTGTGTGGGTGCCCACACCATGCTCTAAACGCTGTGCTGTCTGAATACCAGGCTGAGGCACAGGAACTGAGAGAGGGGCTCCCTCCCTGCCAGACCCTGATTGCTGACTATCTGGAGGCTGCTGCTTCCCCATGTTGCCTGGTCCTGCTATAGCACAGATTTGTGTTCCAGAGACCGTGTCCCCTTCAGGTGCTCAGGCTCAGCGGGGCTCTTGCTGTGCCTCTCCTCCGGGCTTCCTCACTGCTTGGTGCTGTCAGAAGTTGTAAGATGGCCATAATGTGCACATAATTGTAACCCGTGACCTGAGTGGCTCAGTTGGTTAGGCATCTCCCAGGTCATGATCCCAGGGACTGGGATCGAGTCCCGTGTCGGGCTGCCTGCTCAGTCAGGGGTCTACTCCTTCTCCCCACCGCCACTCGTGCTCTTTTTCTCTTTCAAATAAATAAACTCTTCAAAAAATTTTTTGAAAGAGTGACCCAAGTTGCCCTATCTGTTACAGACCACAGTAATCGACTATGTGAAGCCCTCAGATCTCAAGAAGGACATGAATGAGACCTTCAAGGAGAAGTTTCCTCACATTAAGTTGACACTCAGCAAAATAAGGAGGTACGTGAGGCTCAACATCCACTTGAGGTCTCCACTCAGACCCTCTCCTGGCATGAATTCAGCTCACTTTTTGTATGCAGGTTCCTCGTGTAGTTCAGGGAATTAAAACAGGTGTGTGCAGCAAGGAAAGGCTCACCCTCCTCTGGCTGGCTCCTGCCTCCGTGAGCGAGAGCTGAGGAAAGCAGGGCAGAAGGCAGAGCTCTCAACTCGAGTTGACATGGGTGTGAGGATAGTTTCCTTATGTGAAAGAACCATTATTTCCTACTGTCCGAGGCTCAGCTGTCCAGTCAGGGTTATGTTACAGAGAACTCGGAATAGGAGACATTCAGTTCCCTGCTTTCTCAAATGTAGACAAGACAGAAAAGAGTTGGTTTGATAGCCTTTGAGGGAATTCTTTGCCCACAGCCTTCCACCCAAGAGTTGCCAGCCAAGCACTACCTTTAAGCATTTAACAGAGCAGCCAGAGCAGAATCAGGCCCATGTTTCCCCTGCAGCAGACTGGATTGACTTTGTAGTGACCCACATGTCCTGGGCCGGAGAGGAGCCGCCTGGGGTTGCGTCTGTCTAGCAGGACAGACTGTCAGTGCACATGGTGACAGAGGCTAGACTATATGCCAACACAGCGTGGGAGTATGTGCCCCCATTTACATGCTGTGTAGCCCAGTGCTGATTTGACTCTGGCATGTTCCAAGCCAAAGATGTGAGAAAAATGGAGTATTCCCACTGTGTCCATTTGCTGGGTAGCATTCTTAAGTACACTGGCCATTGTGTTGTTAGCCTAACCCCTCTTCTGCCATAGTTTCTGAGCATGGCGGACCCTCAGCAGAGTTGATACCAAGCGCCTAGTTTCTTTCTCTTGGTGTTTCTGTGGATTGATCGTAATACCCCTCAGTTTCCCTCTTTGCCTTTGGACAGCTCTATGCCTAGTTTCCAGAGACCCTCAGACACCACCTGGGTTCAGTGTGGTCTTCTGTGTCCCTTATTGACGTGGTCTCCAGTTCCACCAACAGAGAAGAACCCTAGCAGCTTAAGTCTGTTGCGTACAGAGAATGGAAAGTTCTTACTCCTCAGGATTTGTTCCCATTCCACGTCACCCTTCTGGGAATGAGAAAAAGGAAGGGCTTTCAGAATGGACTAGTCGTTTTCTTTGGAGCCCTCTGAAACTCCCAACTTCTAATAATGTTCCTTTCTTCCTGTGTTTCTCTAGTCTGAAGCGAGAGATGCGGAAGCTTGCCCAGGATGACTGTGGCTTCGAGGAGCCCACAGTGGCCATGGCCTTTGTCTATTTTGAGAAGCTCGCCCTCAAGGGAAAGCTGAACAAACAGAACCGGAAGCTTTGTGCTGGAGCGTGTGTACTGTTAGCAGCCAAAATCGGAAGTGACCTCAAAAAACACGAAGTCAAGCATTTAATTGACGTGAGTGACCTGAGTCCTACTGGCTGAGGGAGCACGTGGGAAGAGCCTGCTTGGTGATCCTGCCTGGCAGAATTCCAGTTGTTAGTAGCCACTGAAAGAACAGGGCTGGGAGGTCATCCTGCAGCAGCGGTCAGGCCCCCCAGCTCAGGCTGTTCTGGAACAGAGGGAGGATCCACTTTGACAAGACCCAGTATTGGGTCTGGCCATAAAAATCCATTTTCAGGGGCACCTGGGTGACTCAGCGGGTTAAAGCCTCTGCCTTCGGCTCGGGTCATGATCCCAGAGTCCTGGGATCGAGCCCCACATCGGGCTCTCTGCTCAGCAGGAAGCCTGCTTCCTCCTCTCTCTCTGTCTGCCTCTCTGCCTTCTTGTGATCTCTGTCAAATAAATAAAATCTTTTAAAAAAAAATATCCATTTTCAGACACCCTGAGGGGCGAACTTATTCTCAAAGTCACAGAAGCCATTGTAACGGGAAAGGGACTTGGGGGGCGTTGTGACCACAGAGCGTCTGTCAGACACTTTGGCTCAACAGACCTCGGCTTCCTGTGGTCTTAACTTGCCTCTTCTTTGAGGAAGGGCATGGGTTTGATTAAGTGGTTTCTCCTGCTTTTAAAGGAGCGCCCCATCAAAGCAAGGAGACCCCGATCTTGGATGGATATGTGATTGCCTGTAGTCATAGAAAATTTGAGACACAGTAAAACCAACAGATCAGGAGATAGTTGCCATTGAAAAGAACACTTCTTACCACAGTTCCCAAGGGAAATGTTTTACTTCTGTCTGCCATAGTGAGATCCCATAGCCAGGGCGGCTTAAACGACAGACCTTTATTTCTCACAGTTCTAGAGGCTAGGAAGGCCCAAGATCAAGGTGCCAGCTGCTTCGGTTCCAGTGAGAGCCCTCTCCTTGGCTTGTGATGGACAGGTTTTCACTGTGTCCTCACATGGCAGGGAAAGCTAACAAGCCTTCAGCTCTCCTCTTATATCGCGAGGACTACACTCCTCAGCCTGATCACCTCCCAGAGCCCCCCACTTAATATCAGCATGTTGGGGGATGGGGTGGGGAGAGACATCATACCATAGGGAGCCATGTCAGGAAGTACCAGGTTGGTCAGGAGGCAGAAGGAGAAGGGGGAACTGTGGGCAGGAGACTCTCTTGTGGTTCCTATGGGAAAGAACAGGCCAGGCAGGGTAGACAGGCTTCAGGCTGTCTAGTGAGAGTCATTTCCGTGGACTTGGGCTGAGGCACTGTCCCTACCTGTCTCCCTGGCCCTGGGTGCTAAGGGCAGGTGGAGTGCGAGAGGCAGATTGAGGAGACGGTCAGGGTGTGGGCGTTGGATTGGTGGGTTTGCACAGGAAGGGTGTGCCCACTGGCAAGTTGTGCACCCCAGGCTAATCCTAGGAGGAGCTGAGCTGCCCGGGCCAACAAGGACCCAGAATTCAAAGCGTCAGAATACAGCAGCTCCAGGTAGTGGCTATGACAAGGTCCTGTGTATGTGTTTGTGTGGCTGGCTCAGTTGGAAAGGAGAAAAAGCAGAAAGGGAGTTAATGGAGGTACTTCCCATGTAAGAGCGTTCTTTTTTGCTTTAATTTACCATTTTTATTCTTCTTTTTTATAAGATTTTATTTGACAGCGAGAGAGACGGCGAAGGAAGGAACACAAGCAGGGGAGGGGGAGAGGGAGAAGCAGGCTTCTGGCTGAGCAGGGAGCCCAATGTGGGGCTCAATCCCAGGACCCTGGGGTCATGACCTGAGCCAAAGACAGAAACTTAACAACTGAGCCCCCCCCAAGCGCCCCATTTTTACTATTTTTAAGTGTACAGTTCAGTGGCATTGAGTGTATTCATATTGTGCGGCCATCACCATTGTCTGGCAAAACTGAAACTGTGTCCCCGTTAAACACCAACTCCCCCGCCCCCCCACCCCAGGCCTCGGCCACCACTGGTCTGCTTACGGTCTCTGAACCAGACTCGAGCGATCTCGCCTAAGTGGAATCCTCTCCTATTTGTCTTTTGTGATGCGCTTATTTCCCTCAGCATTAGGTCTTCAGGATTCATCTGTGTTGTGACGGGTCAGAATTTCCTTCCTTTTTAAGGCTGAGCAGTACGCCCTGCACGTCTGTTCCACATTTTGCGTGTCTAGTCCGCCACTGATGGAAGGACGTGTTCCAGTCCGTGCTTTACTGCTCCTAAGAAATGGTGCTTGTCTAACGTGTCTGTACTTTTAGGAACGTGGAGGGGGATCTTTGGTTACCAAATCAGAGAATCAGCAGGTGTACATAGATGTTCGATGAACTAATCTTTGTGTGTGTGATGTTACGCACATCGAGTTGTATTTGAGTAGGACACCATCCGGCAAGAGCCGACCGTGTCCACACAGAACGCTAACAGGCTGTGGTTTGACATTGGTAGTAGCGACAAAACTGACGCAAGGTCCCAGCCCAGTGAGAACCTGAACGTGGGCACAGACGGCTCTGCTGGCGAGTTTTGTTGTTGTCCTTGTTTTTTCTAAGCTGAAGCAGAATGCACTCCGGCAAAAACAAGGACTTCTCTCCTCACCCTGCCCCCGGGTGTTCGCCTTCACAGCTGGTTGGAGCGAGAGGCAGTGCAGGAGGGGAGCCCCTGGGCACAAGCTGAGCACTGCTGTCCACACGCACACACTCCAGCTGGGCGATGCCCCTGAAAGGCGGGTGATCTCAGCAGGTCTTGGGGTCCTTGTGTATGAAATGAAAGGACCAAACTACATAGTCAGTTGCCCCAATCCCAAACTTACCACGTCGTTACTACTATTGTAGAGGATGTGGTATCTTTTTAGTCTTCCCTCCATGCCTGAATCCTCTACCATTAACAGGTAGAGGTTGAATCCCAGTCAAGGTTGGAGCTCAACATTGCAGTTTACCACGCACGTCCCCTTTGACAAACTTCTTACCCTCTTGACTCCCATCTTCTCTCATCTGTCAAGTGGACATAAATGTAGCATTGACCTTGCAGGATTCTTGAGAAATGAAGTCTGGGCTGTATGGCAGTCTCCTGGCAGACTGTGTGTCCTAGGGGAGGCTCGGTTCCTTCTCCACCTGGACTGAGAACAGGAAGTACAGCTGATGCCCCCCTTCCGTCCTCCTAGTCTTGCCCCTAAAGGGTTTCTCTGTAAACACTCATTAGCTAGGGGGATAGAGAGCTTACACATGGAGAAAGCCTCGGAATTTGATTTCAAAGCTAAAATGCTCTTGGTTTCCTTTCATTCTGCTGCAGAAACTGGAAGAGAAGTTCCGGCTGAATAGACGAGAACTGATTGCCTTTGAATTCCCAGTGTTAGTGGCCTTGGAGTTTGCTCTCCACCTGCCGGAGCACGAAGTCATGCCCCATTACAGACGCCTGATCCAGAGCTCCTAGCACAGGCCCCAAGGAGGAGTAGAGACCACTTCCTCTGAGCCCATGGAACAGCACTTACTACTGGAAATGCAAAAACAGAACTCGACATACCAACCTTTTTTCTTCTCAACATGTTTTTGGGTAGAAGCAGTACTGGAAACTTTTCAGGGAATCCTGGTCTGGCTAGCCGGGATGAGCCGGGAGTGGTTTATTACACAGCAGGGGAAGGGAGACCTGTGCAGAAGGTGGCAGAAGGCCTTTTGGCTTTCCCCTGGTAAGAGTTCCCCACTGTCCCCACCCTGGGGTTCTTCCCTGGGCCCATCCAAACCTCGAAAGCATGGTTCAGGGCCTCCCCTGCAGACCTGATCCAAAGTTCTAGAACAGAGTGGGGAAGAGAATTTGTAGCAGCTGGGGGAGAGCTTTTAAAAGATACCCTCACTGTATCAAAAGAGTGTGCCAATCTGTTTTTGTGTCAACTCTTGGAAGTGCACTTCGATCCTGTCCTGTGCTCCCCCCCAACCCCCGGGTGAGAACGTGAGTGTCTGAGAGATTCCCCGCCAGCCCTCCTCGGCCCCGCAAAGCCAGTCCTGCCCGCCAGAGAGCAGCCTGACCTTCAGTCATTAGTTCTAAGTAATCTCTGGGTCATGACATCCTCTGCTCTTAGAAAATGCCATAGTTTCTCTTACCGCTCCTACCACCAACGGGACAAAGGACAAGTTCTTGGCGGCGCCCTGTGCCTTCCCGTCCCCGCGCGTGCTGAAGTTGGCCCTTGGCACCTCCCGGCTGTGGAGCGGCCGGGGCTGCGCTCCGTGGTGTGTATTCCTGTACTCTACGTTAGAGTGCGTCATAGGCACATTGACTGTGCTCGCTCCGTATCACAGGTTTTCTCAAACTCCGCAGTAGGCGTCAGCCACCCGCTGGGTGTTCCGGAGGCGCCTGACAGCCGGGACATGTGGCATCTGGAGCCGCAGCTCTGTCACCCGAGGAGGCAGGGGACTGCTCGATGCCTGGACAGCTGTCTGCAGAGCTGCGGCTAGAACTCACCCCCGCCGGCCTCCACAACCTGTCCCGAGGCACGTGGCTGCAAGACATCTTCCTGCTGGAGCTCACCTGACAGGAGGCTGCCTGGGGCCCTGTGAAAGGAGAATTAAAATATTTTGTTTCTATATACATGTATGTGTATGTGTAGACACCTGTGTGGCCCCGGTCACCCCTTGCCCTGTGTGCCTGCTTCATCTGCCATCCCCACTTGCACACTGATTCAGAGCCACCCCCACCCCTGCCCCGCCCCGGGGAAAGGGCCCCAGGGAGGCCGAGCACACACAGCTTTGCTTAGCAGAGCTGGACCAAAGGTGACGGGCACACAGGATGGCAGAATTTAAGAAACCGCTGGGGAGAGAACAGAATCCCCATCCCCCCTCCTCCGGAGCCCTAGACTGAATTGAATTTGGTACTAAATATTGTACTTTGGGTACTAAAGTTAGTGACTTTCCTTGGCTGGATTCGATTCTAAGACTGTGATTTTGTCAGGGGCCATGGTGAACGCAATCTCTAAAAATCAACTCAGTTAAGGGGCACCTACCTGGTGTTGAGGCAAACTGGGAACAAATCACGAAGTGTTCAGAGCATGTCTTATCGACTGAACTGAACATGCCGTTGACCTTCCTCTCTTGGTGTCTGTCATTTGCTGCGTCTTATGAGCCACCCCAGGTTCCCAGCCTGCTTGGCTCCCTGGTGAGTACCTGGCAGATGAAAAGCATTTCTGAGGAGCAAGGCCACTGGCATCTAGAAATTGCCCACAGAGCTCTCCACCATCCATTTGCCTTGAATGTCCTGCCAAGTTTAGGGGGACGTCTAGTGGGTGACACGTGCCACCAGGGTCCTTCCTGGGTCTGAAAATCAGGTTAGTTGTATTGGGGTCTGAATGAACTTAGGAAGTTGTTGGTCCATTTTTTTTCTTTTTTGTAAAGACAATTTTAAACTCTATTTTGGCCTCTGGGGAGGGGTCTAGGAATGGAAGATTTTGTCAAGAGGCTTCTTTAGCTTGTCCTCGACGTGAGCTTTCTCAAGGTAAAGGAGGAGGAGACTGAGGGAGGGGATGAAGGTTACCGCCAGAGCTGTCCCAGTGACCTGCATCCCAGGCAACCTGGGCTTTTGACAAGGAGTCAAGGAGCCTGAGCCTATGTGGAAAGGAGGAGGCCACTTGGCAGACTATTCTAGAAGACCTTGAGGTTCTGCCCTTTCACCCTCCACCACAAGGGGCAATTTCAGCCCCTTACCAGCCCCGCTTCCTCAGACCGGTTTCTTCAGCTCCCCTTGCACACAAGTCTGGAAGGAAGTCCTGCCTACTGCCTAGCTGCACGCCCCACGGGACCCCACTAACGGCTCTGCCTGGGTCATTCCCCCAGACTGGGCTTCTCTCCTCTAGTCAGCCTTGATTCTTCAATAAGAGACGATACCAACTGGGCAGAAAGGCTCACACAGCTACCTGGGGAGGAAATGGCAGCAGCCGCTCTATCCTGGAGCAACAGCCCTGCCTGGGGAGGGTCTGTTCCCCCCGCCCCCAAGAGTAGCTGCCCCAGGGCCTGAGCCTGGCCCAGCCCAGTGACAGCAGAGGTCACTACTTTCCCTCCATTTCCCGGGGTAGACCTCAGTGGACACAGGACACATGAAATGCAAGGCTATCTGTGCTCTCTGTGTGGTTTTCCTTGTTTTTAACTTAAAAACCCCCCCGTCTGTGGTTTCTCTGGTCTTCACCCACCTGGCCCATTGTGGGGTGGCCCCTTACTGCACAGAAACCACCCGTACCACAGGCCCTGCCCTGCCAGTGGGGGAGCAGGCAACACTGCAGAGCCTTCCCTCCTCCTCGTTACTCTGTCCTGTCCTCTTTATTTCCCCAACAGCTAGAAGAAAACTGTTTTTACAGCCCCTGCTGCCGAACTGTCTCAGACATTTCCGGGTCAGGCCTGAGCAGTGGCCTCTCCCTCCAGCTCTGCCTCTGGCTGCCTCCATAAGATCAGAGCCTGAGGCTGCCTTGCCCCCTTGCCATCTGCTAGAGAACATTTGAGCCCCGTAGGTTTGTTACCTGTTAATTGGTCCTTGATAGGGAAAGTCCTTCAAAGAAAGGTGGTGAGGGGGGTGAGTTCCTCTGGGTGGGGGCGTTGGGGAATCTCTGAGGACCGTGTGGTTAAGGACAGTGCTGGCCAGGTCACAGCAGGGCCAGGCTGGAGAGTGCTGGCGGCCTGGGAGGGGAGAAAATGAAGACTCGCCCTAAGTCCTGAGTCACAAGTTAACACCAACTTAGAAGACAGCTTCCAGAAGTGCAACGGTGAGGCACAACTGAGGTGAAAAGCTATAAAAGAAGAAAATAATTGGTGACAGGAATGGTCTTCTTATTGCCAAAAGGAGCTCCCAGCAGGATGTGATGCCTTACTCAGAGACCCCACCCCATAAAAGACCACTCAGACTTCTGAATAGATACCCCAGAAAGTCCGCAGACACAGGGCTGGCCACGGCATGGAGACACACCCAGCGAGTACGGCGCTGGCCTCTGCCGTTTCTCACCACCGTCCCGCTACTCCCAGTTTGGTCCGAGCAACACTGGGGGCTTGCTACGAATGCAGGATCTGCATCCTAACGTTTCACGAAGATTTGTGTACATCAATATCTCAGAGGCATTGTTCCTCTGAATAAGCACAAGAAATAAAAGTTTTTGGCTAAAAAAAATAAGCACCCAGAGTTGTCTAAAATAGAAATGCAAAGACACTAGGTGGTTTTTAATACAAAAAAAACCCCTAAGAAACAAAAAAAAGAACCGCCAGTCTTTCACTGGAAGGTAGTTTTGACATCAGATTATATAGCCCCTGCCACTAACAATTTCTGGATGCACACGGCCAGAAAGTTTTAAACCAGACAGACCTACAGCCCACATATTGTAAATCTGAGCTGGCCCATGGTACCTGGCCTCGTCCAGGGTTGACTAGGGACACTGTTGAGAAGAGGCCTGCATCCTAAGCGTCGGAGAATTGCAATAGTGGGGGGGTCAGGGCTGTACTCTCCTGACCTTGGAGACCTCACAGATGAACAGACCTCCCATTTTGTGTTTTCACTGGGGTCCACCTACCATTTTTAAATCGGTCTTACCTTGGGCTCTGTGGGTGACAACAGGGACCCCAAGGGCCTGTCCCTGAGGGAGGGGCTCCCAGAGCTTGAGGAGGGACCACTGGGGGTGGGTGGAAGACACCTTTCCCAGGTACCATGATGCTGATCTCCAGAGGGAGCTCTAAAGGCAGAGCAGCTTGAAAGGCAAGCGCCAAGGCAGGCCAGATTCTCCAGCTGGTCCTGGTGAGGAGGAGTCCAAGGCAGCTGGCTGGTAATTGGTGCTCTCGAGTCAGCCTGGCACGCGGATGATAAAGCAGGCCAAGTTAGAGCCATCTTTTGGTCCTAGAAGTGAAGACCAAAAAGATGGCAGGTTGAAATCAGGGATGCCTTCCCAGGGCAGCTGGACAGCTTGGTGAGAAGCCAGAGACACGAACTGTGATAGGCAGATAAGCCCTTGGATGTTGCTGGCTGGAGGGGCAGAGCGGGGATGATGTCACACGCGCCAAGTAGATACCACACGCCACACCTGTGCAAGGCACGCCAAGCCCATGTTCTTATGTAACCCTTAAACTGTCAAATTATGGATTACGCTCTCATTTCATAGCAGAAGAAACAGGCTCTGAAAAGGTACTTTCCCAAGAGCTCATAGTTACGAAGTGGGAAAGGCAGGATTCAAATCCAGGTCTGATTCCAAAGCCCAGCCAGCCCTCTTGCCTCACTCTGGGTCACCACAGAGAAGCTAAAAAGCTAGGAGCATGGAAGGCTAGAGCTAGGCTGACCTCAGCTGTCCCCCTTGACTTGCTGGCCTGGATGGCCCCTCAGGTTCGCTGGGGCCTTCTCCCCACCCCCACAGCGGCCACCGGCCCTTTCCAGGCAGGAGGAGGAAGGGACCTGGAGCTGTAAGTTTCAGAGCTTTGTCCTCTGGGATACGAGCAACCATCAGAGCAGTTGTAAGACACACCTCCCGGCCCTGGGAGAACATCGGCTTTTTCGAAAGCATGCTCCTGCCACAGGTGAGCTAAGGGGTTTTGCAACTAAGTGGAAGTTCACGTGGGAAACACGCCAGCGTTGGTGGCCACCAATATCGACCCATCAGCTTCTCATCGCTCACGTATGGGTTTCCCACTGTGTTAGGAGGATCACAAATTCCCTGTTATTCATGACTCGGCATGTTCCCTGGCTGCTGGCCCTCCATCAATATGCGACCAGCAAACACACACTTTCCACTACGATGAGGCCAAGTACACGTCCGACAGGCAGTCGGCTGGCAGGAAGGGCCAGATTGCAGAGGAGTCCAGAGAAGGGCTTAAGGAATAGGAGCTGCTTGAGACTTCACGCCTCAGCCCCCTAACGTCACTTGCAGAACACAGGCCTTGTCAGGTGGG